TGCACAATGTTTTCTTAACTATAAAAAAAAATAAATCACCCAAATGATTGTTTATTTCCTATTAAAAGCACCTGGAAGCCTACTCAGTGGTCTGGTGTTATGTGCCGTGAGCAACATGTGTGTTCTGAGACTAGAGTTCTTGTCTTGCAAACACTGGTGAGGAGACACACAGGTGCTGTACCTGACCAGAGTGTTTAAATGGGAATCATGATGAATTCCCACTGTGGAGACTGGTGGAATCATGGTAGATTTATTCAAAGTATGTTCGAGTCTTTGTACAAAGTTTGGGTAAGCTTGGGGAAACTAGTTAGGGGGACAGATGTATTTACCTATGCACCAAAAAGGTGCTGGTAAAGATGTGATGTGCATTTGGGGTCCAGGGAGCACGTTGGATTGTAGCAAATTGTACCCTGGGCCTTCTCTGTTTGTGCTGTGCCAGCCACTGATGTAGGGGCCTTCTGACAGATGTGGTTGCCCAGCACACTCAGGATAGCCTTTGCAGCTTGTAAGTGGGGCCTTTCCCATCTTCAGGTACAGAAACTAAACTTCAGCACTAGGCCTTCAGTTTTGGTAACTTTATGAAAAACTGTGTATTTGAGAAATGAGCAATGAAGCTTAGTGAAGTTTCTGTCAGAAAGGGCTGCTGTGTCTGACTTCTTAGAGAAGTCACTTAGAAAATCCAGAGAAAATTTCAGATAAAGCAGATAATGGGACCTGTGGGGTAGGACGAACTTTAACCTTAAGTGGATTAAGAAGTTGATGTGTCTATGACCAGCTCCAGACACAACCAGGCATGTTCAGACTGCATACAGGCACTTCTGTCTACACTGGCCACTGTCTTTTCTCTCTGGTGCCTGAGCAGAAGGTAAGAAATTAGAAAGGGTGGCAACACCTTTCTGATGCACCGAGAAGAGTCAGATTGTGCTGACCTTAGTCCTACTACCTTCATCACACACACAGTTTCCTCCCAAGCAAACCAACCACACCAGCAGCCCTGGAGTAGAGAGCAAGAGAAGCAGTGATGGTCTTTGATCTGTGGTGCTGTTTGTTGCTGCCTGGAGCTAACACCCTCTGCCCAACTTGCCGTTCTAGGCTTGGGAAAGTCCCCATCTTCCAGGAATTCACACTCAGAATAGACTTTTCTTGGCCTACTGGGTTGAGGGAGGGGAGAATAAATGTCTTAGTGTGTCAAATATTTATCCTGCCTCTGAAAGCTATTTTGTTCTTGGCATGAGCTCTTCTAGTGACTGCGAGAAGTCTTGGGCTGGCTCTTCTGAGCCTGAGTCTGATGGAAACATTTATGTGACAGAGTACCACAGAGGGGATGTAAGGAGTCTGCTCCATCAGCAGAGGTAAGGGGGCTAAGATGAGATTAAAGAATGTTTTTTGTGGATGTACCTCACACCGTGAGGTGATGGCACCTTGCTTCAGGCAGAGGAAACTCATGAGAAGATATTTAAGAAGGCAGGAGTGGAAATGGAAGAACTGAGGGCTATCCAGCTAACCATTTCTGCTTATCCCCCTGTCTGTGCCCATTTTCCTAGCTGTATACATTCTGCAAATATAAAACAGAACATTTAAGTGATGCTTATTGTTTTCTGTTTAAAACACAGCTTATGATCAATTACCTTGAACAAGAGCTGATTTAATTGGCTGACTTTTATTTTTGTATTAAATGACTCTGGAAGATAAAAGTTGAGAGAATTCAATCTTCAGTCTTTTATAGCAGCTCTAAATTATTGATGAGTTCTACAATAATCTTCAAAACTTGTCACCTGACTCTACTTCTGGAACTGTTTCCCTGCATTGTTTTATGGCATCCAAAATATCATGGTCTTCCTGTGACAAATTGTGCTAGCAGAAGCACAATGTGAGCTAATACAACAATTTTTTTTTTTGAAACTTATTTGTTAAATGCATCTTGTGAAGCAAACTGTGGTGAGAAGCACTTGTGTAATCATGTGGGTATTACCTGGGTAGTGAGATCCTCATCTTTTGTGCTTATTGCCTATTTTCATAACTCTTTTAAGAAGTGTAGTGATTTCAGCTTCCTGAATGCAGTCCGCTGTGATCATACTGTTCCCTAAATTAGTCTTTCTTGAAGATGGTAACACTCTCTCCTTCCTGTCTGAAATAATATCACATGTGAATATATGTTGAATATGTGTTCATATACGTTCTGTTGCACAGACATCTTATTTCAGTAAGAAGGTTGTTAATTCATAGATCAGTATATAATGTAAGGAGTAGTAAAGAGCTAGGCAATTCTCATGAAATTTCTATAAATGCAATTGTTACTGTTTACCTGATTATTAAAGGCAAAATAGAAACATACCTTTTGAGATATCTGTTTGACTGTAGACCACAGTGGGAAGGTGAGATTGAGTGGTGCAGTGATAAATGATGATTACAGAAGAAAGCTTTTCAGAATGAGGTTTGACAAAACCTATTTGAGGGAACAAATAAAACAAACGTCTTATGGCAATTTACTCTTGTCCTTACTTCTATAGGTGCCCGTAGGCTTTGTAAGGGAATTAATAATGGTGAAGGTGTTAAGGTTACAAAGCAAGGAGGTTATGACCGTTTAAGAAAGCAGATCATAGAGAAGAAAGGCAAAAAAAGAAACAAGAATTAAAGCTGGAGAAGGAGGAGAAGGAGGATGGACAGCAAAACTGGCAGACTGCAGTAGAAAGCACATGGTGGTACAATTGAGATCGTGAAGACAAGAGTGAGGTTGTTGTCTGGTAGGACTGACTAGCACCTTGAGGGAAGGAATAATTAAGCAGGAGGGAGAGACCATAGATTGTTTTTGCAAAAATTCATGCAGAAACCCTGGTGCAAGAGGAGCAACAGCAGTGAGCAGTGGAAGGGGAAGTATATGAGGGAGCCAGAGTGGGTACAAGGGCACTCATGTACAAGGAAAAACAGAGCTGGGAGTAGCATAAGAGCCAGAGATCAAAAGTGGTCAGCCAGAGTCAAAACTTAGGGTGCGGTGAGGTCTGGCGGCTCCCAGGGGACTGGGATTGGCAGCCAGGGACACCAGGGCAACCCCAGCCCTGAGCATCGGGCACCTCCCTCGGGACAGGGCTGAGGCTGGGACAGGACATGGGCCTGTGGGCAGGTGGGGGTCAGGATCAGACACAGCTTTGTGATCCAGGGAAGGGCCACGGTGATGTGCATCTCTGCAGACAGCTGTCAGAAAGTAAAATGGGGAAGGCAAGATGTGGTACTTGTGGCTGTATTTTCCTGAACGAAGTCAGTTAAATGTCATAAACATCCATAGATTTTGCTACACTGTGGTATTTGTTCATATATACTGCTGTCTTCACATATTGTTTAAAAGTGGTAAGAATATGCAAATAATTAGAAATGTGAGATAAAAATATAGTGGTAATATTTGTAGCTTTGTAGCTAGGTACTGATCTTCCTCACCTTATTTATCAAAAACTATGTGATGCAAAATGGTTCAGCTTTCTGCCTAGTATTTTATTTTTCTGTTTGGTAAATATTAATGTTTCACAATTATGATAAAACGTGGTGCATATCATCTGGAAAAAAAGAAGATGGTTTGAGCTTTAGTATTAAATGTTAGTCTTACTCTCTAATCAATGCATTAATACATCTCTCCAAATGCTCTTGCTCTAGCAGATTTCCCTAAATGTGATGTTTGGAAACTGGTCGTGCATTTACGTGCAATGTGAAATTGAAGGTATTCCTGTGGGCATAATTTTACTCAGAAATGTTTTAACATCATTAATAATGTATATGTGTAACAGGCTTAAGCAAGCCATAGACTAGGTCACTTCTGATCTGCACAATAATTATTCCTACGTGCAATTAGTATTACAGTAAGTATGTAAGAATGAGGCAGGAGAATATACATATACTATATTTTTGGAGGCTAAATAACCTTTTGATTGATGACACAACCCAGTTCAATTCAAGTTGCTTACTCTGGCGTGGTGTTAAAAATTGGTTTTCTGACTAAAGCTCACACTATTTCTGTAAGAGAATATTAGCAATGAATATTAGTGGAAAACTATAAGAAAAAATTCTTATTTTAAACAAGGCTGTTTTAGGTAATTGTGATCATTCACCATTGCAGATTTGACCATCTCTCTGAGGGTCACTTTAGGCAACTTTTAGTGTGTATGAACAGACTCTGAAAGTGAGATTTGCATCTGAAGACAACAGATTGTTTGTCAGTCAGCAAACATAAAAGACAGGTAGGGTTTAATGAGCTCCTGGACTAAGCACCCGTATGTATCTGGTCTGTGACAGGACGTCTGAAGAGTCTTTGCTGGCCAGGCAGATGTGAATGAGGTAGAGGGGCCACCCTTCTCTGCTCCCTGAAACAAATCTTCGTTACTAGGTTGCTGTCTGCCACCTTCTTTGGGATTTGATGCCTTTCCGCGTTGATGTTTTTCCTCTAGAATCATTAAGCTGGTAACAAGTCCCATGTCACCAGTCCTACTTCTGTTTCTGGTTTCACCTTTCTGACCTTGCACAGCCATCCTCTGAATTTTCCCTGAGGTCTTTCCCATATCTTTGCTGCTCCGTAGAAGTCAGCCTAAGGCAAGGTGAGACTGCTGTGGCATGTCAGAGCTAGACCTTGGGCCACAGCAAGATGGACCCCCCAGAGGGAGGTCACACAGTAAGAACATTAAATGCTGGGGTCACATATTAGCAAACATCAAATGAGGAACTTAAATTAAATTAATTATTCCTGAAATTTGAAGTGTTTGGGAGTCTTATGCACCTTTAAAGGGGTTTTTTGTTTTAATAATTTGCAAAAAATTTGTTTTAATGCTGAACATTTGCTTTGTGGCAGTGCTTCTGTTACTACTATTTTGGGTGTTAATAATATGTTATGAGAAATGCAGTTTGAAGAGGCGGCAAATGTGACTCCTGGCCTTAAATGCTCAGTTCAAACCTCCCAGCAAATCTTTTGGAAGATTATCCAGATACACAGTCTGCAATTGTCCTTTCTTCTATTTTAGGTAATGGGCCCCATCATGATCGAAGTTGTGTTTACAACCAGAGCAATATAGTAGATGGAGTTTACTGCCTCCCAATAGCACACTGGATTGAAGTCTCTGGACATACTGATGAGATGAAACATACAACTGACTTCTATTTTAATATTGCAGGACATCAAGCTATCCATTACTCCAGGTAAAAGAAAAGTGCAGTTTGGCTGGTGTCAAATATTCAAACAGAAAATCTGAACTGGCATGTCAGAAAACTGCATTTGAAGTAATGAATATTTGTTTGTATGTAAGTAACAGTAAAATTTGAGAAAGATTCAGCACGTCTTTGCAATGAAATGTCACTTTTGTTAATAAAAAGTAGAGATCCTGAGTTCAAGGATACCTGCACCCTGTACAGGTGTGTTGTGTCATATCTGAAAACATTTTGTGGTAATTTATGGATAGTAATTTTCAAATGCTTGTCTATATACACATGTAAAATTGCATGTATGTTATGTGTTTTGTTTGGGATTATTTTAGTGAAGAACATCTGGGAAACACCAGGAATTTAGTTGTGGCAGCAACTGCAGTTAGTGACGGCCACTGTAGATGAATTCTGCTTCTTGGCATGTATTTAACAAAATACTAAAATACTAAAATTTAGACACGTCTTAAAATGTTTGTACTTCCAGAGTGTTCACCTGAGCCCACTGTCTCTGCGGTGAAGCACCCTGGCTTGAATTAGGAGACGTAAAGCTCAAAGAGGGCATTCACCCTTTAGGGCCGCAGATGAAGCACAAGCTGTATTTAGAGCAGCAGCCTTAGCACTGGTGATAAACAGAGTATTGAGGAATTTTGGAGCCTTTTAACCTCTTTCCCCGTCTCCACTCAATGGATATGGCAGCAAGTTTGTGGATTGATAATGGTTCTATAAATGCTGGCTGCCTTGTTATGTTGCACACAGCTGGTGTTGCTTACAGAGCAGTTAGTGATCACAAAGGGATATGTATTTTTTTAAGAAATCAAACCACCTCATACGTTCATTAGGTCTTAGCATTACTTTGTGTGAATTTCTCCAGGCTCCTGTTTCAGCTACACCAACCTCACCATCTTGTCTTCTCTTTGAACTCTTTGTCTCCACAATCTCATAGGGTAGGAAGTAGGATTGTCTTTTTCTCATTAGAATTGCAGTGTGTGAGGGAAAGACATTTCTTTTGTATCTTATGGAATATCATGGATTCACAAACACTGTCACGCATATGTAGGTATTTGTGTGACTTGTTACCTTTTCCATGAGACCCCCTCACCTGACAGACTAAAGTGTTATCTGGATCTTGAGCATCTGTTTCCAACATCCTATCAGAGAAAAATCTTGTTTATTCCAAAGCACAGACTTGTCAATCCCAAATAATCTTTGTTTGGCAGAGAAATTTTTTGAGAAAGAACAACTGTGAGAAAGTGAATATCTAAGTCCCAAAGGCTAACTTATCTTTCCTTCCAGAGACAGCACTGATCCATTTGTTGCTGCTTTATCTGAATGACTGTGTATTTCAAAAATTAGGTAAAAAGCTGCAAATTCTGCTAAAGAATATTTGAAAAAAAATTTTTCTGAGCTGTTTAGTCTTTTCCAGATGAGGAGCTCCTCCTCCATTCCCCTCTCATACACACATACCTTCATTGAAAAGCAACTTTGTATGTGCATCTTAGTAATTCTTATCTAATTTCTTTGAGCTATGTTAAGTAAGCATACCCTGTAACAGTCTTGTTGCATAAATACTTTTAGTATTTTGAAGATATGCAGTCTTAAATGTCTTTTTTTAATTATTAATAATTGGGGGCAGATTCACAATTCTGCTCTTATAATAGGGCAGTCAAAAAATACTGGGTAATTTAGATTTGGGGATTTTTGGCATAGCAGCTGAAGTGAGTTGATGAAAATGCCTTTATTTTGTAATAGATTTATTGATTCAGAGGAGTACTATGAAGATTAATGTAATAAAAAAAAAAGAAGAAAAATCATCGACATACCACCTCTCCCCCCCGCCCCCCGGCCCCAAGCAACCAAAAACCCAAACAGAAGCAAAAAGCCAGTCCCTGTGCCTGTAAAAGTTAAAAGCTTAGAGGCTTCACTGTAGTGGAGGCTGCAGTACTGCGAGGAGCTTTATGACCAAAAATTCTGAGTCCTGTCACCAGTTGTAGGATCTTTACAGAATGGTAGAGGCTGGAAAGAAGTGATTTATCAAAGAAAACTTTTGATGTGAGCCCTGCCTCTACCTTGCTCCACTTAATAGGATTACTATGTGTGAATTAGCTGGAGAGAAAAGTTTTTCTCTGTCAAAGGGTCCTCTCACCTGAGCCCTGGGACTGATTTTACTTCTCCTCTGCTTAATCACAACAGTTAGGAACAGTTGCTCTGAGTTTTGCTGCCACCTCGCTGCTTCATAAAACATGAGCTTCTACTTTAAAGGGGCTGCAACAGGATGAGAAGAGTGTGCTGACTGGTGCCAAAAATAATTTTGAATCATGCTGAGGCTGTCGACAGTGCTTTGAGGAATCAGATTTTTCTTATTTGATACAGATATATTGCTCATAAGTCAGTGAATTTATGTTTAAACTTATATTTAGAGAACTCACTTTGTTTTGGTCAGGTAGGAGAGCATATGGTGTGGCTTTTAAGCATAGTAAGAGATGAATTAATTTTTTGTAAGTGTGAAATGGAGTTTTCCTACAGCTTAAGGGGCATGACTGACTCCTCCATGGTGTTAGTATTCACTTATTTTGGACATTTAATGACACGTATAACCAAAACTGGATTCAGAAAAAAAATAGCATTCAGTTTTTCTTTTGTGTTAGATATTACTGCAATAAGGTGCCTTCAAATTGCAGGAGAGTTCACTTAGGACACAGTAGTTTTCCAAAGTAAATTAGAGTTATTGTAATCTTTTCTGGGAGAAGATAACTTCAGAAAACTTGTAAATCTGGGGCATGTTATATCTGTTTCAGTTCCATCTGTGAAAGGCGGAAATTCCTAATTCATAGATGTTATATACCTTATTATTAATATAAAAGCCTCTGCAATTCTCAGAAGAAAGGCATTGCATAAGAGCAAGAGAGGGAGTGACAACTGAAATTACAAAATACTTCAATAATATGTTGGAGACGATGCTTGATGGCAGAATTAGGTGCTGTGGAAATGAATATCTCCAATAGTAAAAGCCTTATACTTACAGTTTTCTATTTTCAGATTAATTTTAGGTATGTGCTTTTTGTGAGTCATATTTCTCAAATCTGAGGAAGAAAAATAATTTTTACATGCTTTGCATGTAAAATGCAGCTAACCTGGATTCTATAAGTGAATTCCTCGGACAACAATGATAGCTAACCTGTAACTGAAGCATTATATGGCTGCTAAAGGTTTTAGAGGAAAATACACAATCTGTAACAGGGGAGTCACTGCATGAGTAGCCATGGGTCCTGACAATTTTTGGAGGTACATTTTTTATAGTAGTTTTTTTGCATTTAAATATTAAGGCTACCAAATACTAATATTTCATGTTTATGGAGTTATTTGGTTCCTGTAACTGGATATAATCCAAGAAATCACGAAGCTGGCAAATGTGTTGCTATCATCAGTGTTTGTGTCCCTAATTTTTTTCCCCTAAGACAAAACAAAGCTAAAGATAGAAGAAAATTGACTCTTGTGCCTGGAAATACTGTTTTTGTTTCTTGATGGTTGCAAATGAAACTTAATTTATGATGTAGTCTTTACAAATGCTTTGCTGCTTGTTGGTAAGATAAGTTTCCTTTAACACTGCTGTAGTAATAGTAATGGAGGTTATAACCTGAGCTAAGTGTTAAGTGGGAATGGTCAGGAGCATCACATAAAATGTGTGTTCCTGATTTGTGGTAAGTGTTAATGTATATAGGTGAGTGAATGAAAAATGATCCAGGGCAAAATGGAGATGCTTCTTATTTACCTTTTGAAGGCACTAGAGCAGTATTCTGCTGATAGAGCACAGAGTATCTTTAATTGGGGTGGAAGACAAGAATCTGGCTGAGTATATTTGGTTCAGTATGAAATCAGAATTACCTTTGAATTGTGCAACTGAAAAAAAATACAAGCAACAGTTCTTTTATTTGTTTTTACTCTTTAATTTTTCTTCTTACTGGTTTTAATTCATTCACAAAATAAAATATCCTTCTGTTTTAAATGTAATTTTGAAGTATTTTTTTATTACTGAATTATAAAAAAGGCTTTAAAGAGTAAGCTGTCACAAAAAACCCTGGAGCGCTGTGACCTATGCTACTGTAACAGAAAGTTGCACTGGTATTTTATGCCTACATTATGAATTAAGAGAAGAGGTGATGATGTCTACAGAGATTACCATAATTAACAGTAAAAGGTGAGAGCTAGCTGTCCCCTGTGCCTAAAGAATGCTTGTGATATTAGAGAAAAGACTAAGAAATAATGAGCTCTGGAACAAAAGTTGTCGATTTTATTCTGGTAAAATAGTCCTGATCAAAAAGACTTAACATCAATAGGAGTTCAGCCTTTGATTTCAGTACTTGGGGCTCTAACTGTAAAGTTATCTGGCCGTATTATACACTAAATAATGAAAATATTCCAAGGCACATTTTGTGATATGTTTATCCCATGAACTAGGATATCTGACTACTCTTTGAATATTTTTTTATTATACTGAGATATAGTCTGAAACTAGTCTAAATTAGAGCCATTTTTTACTTACCAATGGGAAACACCTTTTATAGAACAGCTTAAAGGGTAATTCTATTTTTTGTTTCTTGTATATCTTCAGTTTTTTCTACATCACCCTCAACTACAGCTGTGAAATGCTTTTACTAGTCTCTGCTTTGAAGAAAATGGGTTTCAAATTAGTGTAAGAAGTGACATTTAAGCAATTTTTTATTTAAGTTCTTGAAAATTAAGAGGGAGTGTGAAGAAATAGGAGCAAGAATGAGAAGACAAATTATGAGGCTAGAATTTGATCAGTTTTTAAAGTCCTTATTTTTTTCCATTAATTTAATTTGGCTGATCTCTGTATTGGGTAACAAATGCATTTTTCTTCCACATTTGTTGCTCATGCAAACAAGAAGTTTCTCCTTTCATGAAATTCCCACACTGTACCCTCCATAACAGTGGCTAAAAACTTGAAAACTGATTCGATTTTGCGTGGTCAGGATGGC